CCGAGTTCAAATATCTCGGCTGGGTCCGACGGGAAATCACTGTAACGGCGCCCGGACGTGGGCCCCGGCTGAAAGTAGGTCTCATTTATCAAGGCGGGCTCTGTGCAGAGGGCGAGGCCAAGGGCTCCGGACAAGCCAACCAGGGGAGACCGTTCGCCCTGCCGCACTAAACAAGTCACAGGGTCTTCGCCTGAGCAAGGGGTGAGGCAAAGCCGAAGGCCAGATTGTGAGGCCTTCCCTCCCCCAAGAAGCCCCCCAGAAGACTTCGGGGGGGGCTACTTGTGCGCCAGACCCCGACTCGAGAGATCTGTCCTGCCTGCAGATGTTGCTTAATCGTAGTCTCCTGACCCCACCCCGCCCCATCCCTCTCCGCTGCCGGAAATCATCAGTGGCCCCCTCGGTGAATGAACGAGGAGTCCCTGCTGGGATCAGTCAGTTTCAGGACCCCTAGAGCAAAGCACAGCAGAGCCTGATCCCCCCCAACCCCACAATTGCTGGGGAAGATCCACTGGCTTCAATCATGCTAAAAGGCCTTTGATAGAACACAAGAACGGCCAGACGGGGTCAGACCAAAGGTCCATCCAGCTTAGTGTCCTGTCTGCCAACAGTGGCCAGTGCCAGCTGCACCAGAGGGAGTGAACAGAACAGGGACTCCTCAAGCAACCTCTCTCCCATCACCCATTCCCAGCCTATGACAAAGGCTAGGAACACGATTCCTACCCATCCTGGCTAATAGCCACTGTCAAATCCCGGGCTTCATTTGCAATTGCGGTATGCCTACATTACCCCGCTAGTTCGAACTAGCGGGGTAGTGTAGACATACCCTGAGTGAAGAAAAACTTCCTTTTGTTTGTTTTAACCCTGCTGCCTATTCATTTCATTTGATGACCCCTAGTTCTTATATTGTGGGAATAAGTAAATAATTTTTCCTTATTCGCTTTTTCCACACCTGTCATGATTTTATAAACCTCTATCTATCTCCCCACATGCTGGATTTACTCCTTGGTCATGCTTCCTAGCGTTGGCTGCAGTGCACAGTAGCATTTTTTTAAATGGGCACTGAACTCAGTACAGATCACTTGGATTTTTTTTTCCTTTTTCTGAACCTTTTCCAATGCCAATATATCTTTTTGGAGATGAAGTGACCACATCTGGAGGCAGTATTCAGGATGTGGGCGTACCATGGTTTTATATTGAGGCAATAAGATTTTCCCTGTCTTATTCTCTATCTCAGCCTTGGCCAACCCATGGCTCCCGGGCCCCC